AGCAATTTGGCCAAACGGTTCAATGCCTCATGAGGCCTCATCTCACCATCACTAGACTGGAGGTTTGACAGGACCCAAATGCAGATACAGGCTTGAGGTGGTTACTGAAATATTTTAATGACAAAAGTTAAACAGACACAAAAATCCAAAAATGCTCAAAACCAAGAATACTCACAAAAAGAAGGGGACAAAGTAATGACGACAAACCAGCCTAGACTGACTGAACAGGAGGAGATTATATGGGAGAGAGAAACAAAAGACCAGACTAATTAGCAGATTGGGAGCAGGTGTGAACAGAGGCAAGAAGGGAGCTGGGGAAAAGGAGACTGACACATAAGGGCAAACAGGAAATATCCAAGAACTCAAATACAATCAAAAATACCTAGAACACAAGAATCAAAATAACACCATCGAACACTCAAAATAAAACTTGGACAAAACCAAAACCATGACAGTTAAGCCATGTTTAGAAGGCTACCTGAAGCGACATTAAAATGAATATTACAACTTTTTAATAAAATATGGAGAGAAGGTGTAGTTCCAAATAAATAGAAAATGGCAACAATTCTCCCATTTATTAAACCAGCAAAAGATTTTTCGGACCCAAATAACAGACCAATAACATTAACATCTCACTTATGTAAATGGATGGAGAAAATATTAGAAAAGAGATTGGGGTTTATTTTAGAGCAGAGACAGATATTCAATAAATACCAATGTGGATTCAGAACAGGAAGGTCTACAATGGAGGCACTGGTGAGAATTAGTAATGACATAGAAAAAGTGTATGACTCAATGTGGAGGGAAGGTTTATTGATTAAGTTGGACATTAAGGGAATAGGTGGAAGAATGTATAACTGGATAGCAAGTTTCTTTACAGAAAAGTTGGGGATTAATATTCAAGACATTTTAAAGTAGAAAAAGACACTCCTCAAAGGGAGGGTAATTAGTCCTGTACTTTTTAACATTATGATTAATGATATATTTTTAAATATTAAATATTAAATGAATGCATTAAATCAGCACCACTTTTTGCAGATGATGGAGCCATATGGGTGAGGGGAAGAAATGTCTAACATGTATTAGGAAATACACTGCCTGGCCAAAAAAAAGTTGTCACCAAAAAAAAAGGTCACTCACTCTAATACTTTGTTGGACCGCCTTTAGCTTTGATTGTGGCATGCATTCGCTGTGACATTGTTTCGATAAGCTTCTGCAATGTCAAAAGATTTATTTCCATCCAGTGTTGCATAAATTTTTCACCAAGATCTTGCATTGATGATGGTAGAATCTGACCGCTGCGCAAAGCCCTCTCTAGCACATCCCAAAGATTCTCAATGGGGTTGAGGTCTGGACCCTGTGGTGGCCAATCCATGTGTGAAAATGATGTGTCAGGCTCCCTGAACCAGTCTTTCACAATTTGAGCCCGATGAATCCTGGCATTGTCATCTAGGAATATGCCTGTGCCACCAGGGAAGAAAAAGTCCATTGATGGAATAGCCTGGTCATTCAGTTTATTCAGGTAGTCAGTTGACCTCATTCTTTGAGCACATACTGTTGCTGAACCTAGACCCGACCATAAGCGTCGTTAGACCTATTTAAGGGTGGCTTCAG